TACATTACCTTCCCTCTCCCAAAGTATGCAGGAGCAACTAGGAATCATACCTCTTTCTTCTTGATCTTTGAAATGCCACCAGTAGCCCTTGGACGGGTGATAGCGACAGTAGGACATAGCTTCTTCAAAAGCAGACTGAATTCCATGCACTGCAGTGAGCTTTCAGAACAAGAACATAAGGCAGCATTCAGAATTTAAGGTGAAAATACAGTATAAATTTTTGAAAACAGGGATTTTAAAGTTAGTATTCTATATTTATTTTTGTTCCAGAAAGGGAACTTGGAACATCTAGTTTTGGACCAAGAATGTAATCTCTTTAACAAGACCTTTTCTGAAGTGCTTTTCTAAACTTACAGAAAAAAAACAAACTTGCAAAAGCAGTTTACTAGAACAGAAGAAAATAAAACAAACCCAAGTATACAATTTAAAAAGAAATATCACATTAACTTGAAAACATAAGCCTCATTTACAGAGAAATATTACCTTAACATTCCAAAGAAGCTTCACTGAATATGTATTTAATTACTATTCCACATCTATTTGCCATCTAATTTTTCTTTTGATTATTTTGTTGTTCTCCCAATTGTGTAGCTTCAGTTATTCTGATCCTTCATCCTTAAACAAGGTATCCTACTTTTTTGACAATAATGCATTCTCCCAAGATCTTTCATTTCCATGTGGGATGCACAATTTTAACCAGTGGGGTTTAAATAACTGTACACTACATAAGATCTTTCCTCAAAACAGTGAAGGAGGGATTGAAACAGCCTAGGGGACAACTAAAAGTAAAAGCAGGTGCAAACAGGTATACATTAAATGCACAGAACACTTACAACTCTGGAGTTAATGACAGACCCTAAGTCAGGTGCCTGATAAATCACTCCAGCAATAATATAGTAGTCAGCCAATGGAATAACTGTGGGGAGAAAGAAAAAAAAAGCAGGGTGAATTTAAAGCTCTGTCTGAAGGCTGTGTATTTGTTGCTGAATTTCAGTAGTAACAGCAGAAATTGCACTATTCATCTGCTCACCAAATTTTCTCTTTTTAACTTTTTCCTTTAAGGTGTTTTATGTGTACTCCAGCAACAGACTGATAAGGGAAAAAAAAACCCCACAAACCACAAAACAAGGTCTTCTTTACAGACAGAAAGGCATCAGCTTTAAGTCCTGTCCTACTGCAAACAAATACTTGACCTTACAGGAGTTGGGGTTTTCAGAGCTACACAAGAGGAGTCAAGTGAACTGCACTGGAAGTAGTTCCACTTGCCTTTGCTACCGGTAGAAACCCACAACAACATAACATCTCATTTGTCTGGCCGCAGCTTTCTCCAACTTGTACAGTCCTCTTGGCTAGATCTACCAGACCCAATGGCAGCTAAGCACACACAGAGCATGCCTTTCTAAATTAATAACATTCTGCCAAAAAAAGATGACCTTCCAAAGGCATTTGCTAAATCAGATTTGGAACCTCTACTGACCCATCAAAAATTCTTGTTCATTAGAGCTGCACTGGAGAGGAACATCACAATTGTAATTCTCTGACAAACATTCTTCAGTTGAGAAGCTACAGCGATGCTGTCAGCGTCGTATTCCTAAGGATCTCACCTGCGTACACATTTGTTCCAGTTCCTCCATCTGTACTAACACATTCTGTCTGAACCTTTTTACTGACAGGACCCAATTCATCCGGTACTTGCATTTTATGGAGCTTGGACACCTGCCTAAATTAACAGACCAAGACAGCTGGGTGCACATTACAGCCAATACCCACTTCTCCTCAGAAGAAAGAGGATTCTCGGCATTTCTGTAGAAGTAGAGCACGACATAGAACAGCAGCTTTACTGTCTCACCATTCTGCGCCAGAGCAGCCTACTCTCCTAGACAGGTAACTCTCCCTCATCACTCGATGTAAAGATTTTTCCAAAACCACTTCAAATAGGCAAAAACTTGGCTTAAAGAATTTAGAATATACTTTTTAAAAAAAACACACAGAAGTCATAACACAAGCCTGCACCAAGTACACAACACTAGCTGTGAACTCATTGAATTTTGGTTTTCCATCCCCACTCTCTGTCTCAAAGACACTAATATTTGTACCAAGATCAAATGAAACACACGGGTAACATTTGAGCTAGGGAACTATGTGACTCAAGAAAGGTATCCAGCACAAACCATACAGTCATGATGGGAAAAGCATTACCACACAAGGCTCAGTTAAGTTCTACCAAACATACGTTTGCATTACAGCAAAAGTCTGAACACACTGTGGAAGCCTCAACTTTACTCTTGATTTAAAGAGTGTCAAAACAAGAAATTAAAAGAGCTGTGTTCCATACTCACCCTTTGAAAGCTAGATTCAAAGCCCTTAATAAAGAAACAACTTGAAAAATCCATTAAAGGAGGACTCATATGTTCTTTTTGAGTATGGAACTGCAATATAAAGAGGCCATTACCTGATAGAAGCAAATCAGAAGCATTGCTAGGCACGGAAAAGTCCTTACAAGACCAAAATGCATATCCAGAGCCTAAGTCACTAAAAAATAGTTAAAAGATAACTAGCATTAACCCCTCCTTTCTTTTCTGTAAAGTTTACTCTAAAATAACCTAAATTATTTTACATATACATGCAGTAAACACAGAAGACAGTCCAATAACTACTGAAATGTGGTTACATTTTTAATTAATCACACACACACAAATTTAAGGTTAAAAAGGAATAAGTAAGCCAGTTGCAGGCAAATGGGAAAAAAGCTAGGGTATTTCATTTAAAACGTGGAAAGGTCATCAGTGACGCTGTAAGGAGTGGTGCTGTTGTCACAAGATTCCCTCGTGATTCCAAAATACTCAAGTTCTCAGAGGAATAACCAAAACAACAAGTATTTGCAGTATTTCATTGTCATTCTTCACACAGCACATTGACTTCTACTGACAAGACCCTACTCAGCAGTATAACCAATCTACAGTTGAAGGTGGAAATAGAACAGAATAAGAGAGGCGACATAAACAGAAGCATGAATGGAATGATCCCTCTCCCTAATGAATGGAAATCATGGTTCTCCTAAATAAATAAATCACATACTAGCCACTTCAGATGACTACCTCAAATTAAAGTAAGCTCATCAGCCTCAAACAAAGATATAATTAGCTTTATATTCAAATGGTTAGAATGAAAACTCTTGCATCACCTAACAGATAAATACAACATGGCATGAATGCTATTATGAATTTCCCATGCAAAATATACCAGACGGCAGCCCTTTCTCGTTGCACTCTTCACATCTCACCACAAGATGGCAATCCCTGCTATCAGCACACTAGAGGTCACTCTGCTAGACAAAATACCTCCACCCCTCCACAAAGCCTCATACTCTTTTAGTAAATTTTTGAAGATAAAGACAGAAAGGGGAACCAAAAGTGCTTAAACAGAAATTAGGAACAGACAAAAGCAACTAACTGATTGGCCTTCTCAACAGTGACAAGAGCTGAGTGACCTTACCTTGTGTTGGAGATTGCCTTTGCTGCTTTCTGATAATGAAGAGAATGGGCTCTTGAGCATGAAGAAGGATGTACTCCACTCCAACCATCTGGCTGAAAAAGAAGCAACCAGAATAAATATCTCCCTCAAAGTAAAATCTGTAGGGTGTGCAGAGCTACCAAAGGGCCTGGCAGCAAAGGGATGAAGTTCTGACACTACTGTGTAAAGTACAGTAACTAAAGGCAGAAGATTTCCTGAGCTAGCTGTCAAAACCTGGCTGCATATCAAAGGGAGTCACAGCAACATTTGACATAATATTTAAGTAGAACATATCAGCAGACAAATAAATAGCTAGAAAGATACCACAATCTATCATCATACAGGTGTCACTTCAACGCAGAAACAAAGGACCAGTGTATATTGTGGCCACCTACATCTGATGAGAAAGCCTCTCTGCAACCACAGCTGAGCACAAGTGACTTCACCAATGAACTTTCAGCTCAGCTTGCACACTCCTTCTCATCTTGCGAAGTCTTTAAATAGTTCTCAAATACCTCACTTGTACTCATTGTAGCAGATGGGGAACTGCAAAGAAAGTTAACTTGCGGGTGCTGCAATCTCATTACACAACCATCTGTGATCAGTTTATTTACAACACTCACTACTTTTATTATCCATACTAAAAAGCCAGCTTTTTGGAGGAATTATGTACTAATTATGGCACACAGCCATCACGTTATGGAAACACAAACTGTTTATGAACTCAAAGTATCCCCTAACATAAAACCTATTCACCATAGAAAAACATTTAACTACATTATCATTACTCAGGTTCTGTTGAGCTGGAAAGATGAGAAAAGACAGCTTTTCTAATTCAGAGAAATATCTAAAAGGTGATTTACTGGAATCTCAGGATATACATAGACTCCTTCATGCTTAACATCTTCTTGAAATGGCAAAAGAAGAAGTAGAAGACATCTAAATACAAAAAAAGCTAAGCTCCCTGGCAAGTGGTGGGACTAAAAAGCACAGAACAGAAGGAGGCTCCCAGCATGCTTCCATTCAACCATCAAAGCCTCTGGATGGACGGACAAAGGACGCTGCACAGCAAGCAGTTGCAAATTACAACTTACTTCAAATGGTCCAAGGTCATCCGCTGCATTTTGACGACTTCGTTGTTACATGTTCGGTCATAGAATGGGTTACTTCGCTCCGAGAAATAGTCCAACACACTCCCATTGTTTAATATGGGAATCCAGGAGCTGTCAACCCAGGAAATTCCCAAGAGATTATCTGGGAAGAGAAATCTACACTGAGTACCAAGGCAGCCAGAAACACTACAAATTGCCACCAGTTAGTGAGTATAGCAGGGGAAGGAAGTGGAACACAGCCTCACACAAACCAGTTCTAATTAAAAACGTGTTTCACAGAGTTCAAATAATAATTGACATCATTTAACCTTCTGCCATTCTGTTGTAGGTACACAATAGAAATATAGTCTTTTTTTACTATTGCACTTTTCTTTCCTTGGCCACTAGCTGCTGGTATATCTCCAGTCTCAAGAAGGTGAGAAGGATGCGTGCACATGTGCGTGTGCTGTGTTGGTGGGAGTTAGCTCTGATACTCTATATAATATTATCATACTATGCCTCCTCAGTAGTATTGTATACATTTATTTTATGAACCGCAGCATTAGCTGAGTAGAAAGACAATCCAAAGCAT